TCAGCAGGTGGGGAAAAAAGTCTGAAGTACAGATCTAGCACTGTGTTTTATTGGTTAGATAAGGCTGCCCTGAGCATGTTGATGTGCTCCCTTTTGTTCAGCAGCACAGGCTGGCTGCAGCTGGCTGCTTGTTTCCTTGGGGACTAATGAACAGGACTGCGATAGACACCAGCTACAAGCAGCAGGTCAGTAACCAAGACAGGCAGCCTTTCGTACACTGCAGTTCCTGCCTCCCCTGTGCTGCAATGGTGTGAGTCTTCCCAGGCCCACTACTGTTTTGTTTCATTTTAGATTTGAATAGGACTGGGAGATCTGGAAGGCTACCACATTTTAATTACCAGCTTCCTGTTTGATAGCAGCTTATATATACTTCAAGAGAAATAGACCACATTAATTTACACCTACTACAACTTAACTAGAAATAGCATAAGCACAGACCTTACAACGAGGTGGCTGCCATCTGGGGATTGTACGTGCATCTAGTGCTGGTCCAGTAGCACTGCCTTGCATGGGGAAAGGAATAAGTTGGGAAGAAAACTCCAGAAAAAGGTACAGTGAATAAAATAGTACCGTTCTGGCACTTACCTCATCTTGGCATTTCAGTACAGTGGAGATGTTGGTTTAGTACTCTTAAAACATTACTAATCAGAGTTTTTGATAAAACACATTTAATATTTCCATTGTAACTTACACATGCCAGAACATGAATATCCATTAACATGGTGCTGATTTATAAAAGAATATACACATTTTGCACTGCAAAACAAACCACTTAAATATACAATCCTCTGGATGCACTTAAATAACTAAGGTAAAAGGTACAAAATATCTAACAACAAAGGTATGTAAATAGTAATTTAAAAAGAGTATTTTTGTATGTTACAAATACTTGCATGCCAGTTCTTTATTGGGACACCAAATAAAAAATGGCACAGAATGAAGTTGTTGCATGATTCTAGCATTTGAACTCGGGTAGCAGAACAAGCTGAATAGACTCAGTCCACCTAAACTTGAGTGTTAAGAGTATCTTAAATTTCTGTACAGTCTTACAGCTGTAAAGTAGGATTAGTAAAAATAAAGTAGCTTTTAGATGATGTGGTAGTTTCAATAGTTAACTGTTCAGATACTTCACCTTATAATGTTTTATGCATAGTGCCTCTGGAATATAATACTGACTAGAAGAAAGTTAGGGTAACCAAGAGTGAGAATTTTAAATTATAATTTATACCTTCAGTAAAATAATTTAGCATCTTTAATATTAAATATATTTGTAAGTGTATATGCAATTCAAATAAGCTGGTTCCAAAATTAAGCAAGTTTTTAAAATTAAAACTGTAAGGGAGGATTAGTGAGGCAGTCATGCTAATTTACGTGCTTGACCATTATTACAATTGACAGCATCGCCCCGTTCTCCAGCACTTTCTATTTGCATCATCCTTTCTCTGAAAGGAGTCGAGTATTCATAGAGAAGCGTTCTCTCAGGGAATGCTGGAGTGTACATTTCAGCTGTTACAGAGCCACACTCGACGTCAGTGCACTTAAGTGGGTTTTTACGAAGACTACAGGGTCTCCGATATACTAAGAGAAAATGTTGCGCAGCCCCAGTGACTTCACTACAGCATTGTTCCCACTAAGGCTGAGGCTGCTTAAAGCTTTATCTTTTCTTTCGGCTCAAGTATCCTGAAAAGTCATTGAAGTCAGTCAGTCAAAACATCTTTCTCAAAGAAAACAGATTCAGACTTACAAAATTATGTCAGTTCACACTGATACTTTACTAATACATTATTACAAGACATCCAAAAATCCCTCAAATGGTTAAAAGAGGACTCTTACTTTAAGAACCCTGTCTACTATCCAGGAAAATAAGCTGAGGCTGGTGTTACTGCAGCTTTTGGTGACGGTTGGACTTTTGTTGATAAGTATGGTTTCAGATATTCTGTAGAATAGCAGAAACAAGATACTGTTCATAGAACCATAACTATTAATAACCTTTAAGTACATTTCAAATAAGGTCTTGTTTTAACTATTTCCATACATACCTGAGTTAAGTGTATTTTGACTAAGCCCTCGTAAAGGAATGCTGTCATCTTTTTTCTTCAAATACTTTGATTCCAGCTCTAAATTATCACCACTAGAAATAAAAAGGCTTATTAAAATTTAAAACAAATGTAGTCAGTTAGCAGTGCATTAACAAGCATGGATACAGACTCATTGAGAAAAATCTTAACTTGAAGTGGAACTACTGTGTTCCTATGAACTTTGTCATTTAAAGACAAACCATCACTGAGTAGGTTAAGAACAGTCTAGAACTAATTTTTTGACTGACCCATCACCTGATAGCCTTAGATCTGTCACCAGGAAGGACAGAGTTCCTTGGGACCCGCTCCTGAAAGCATGGCTCTTCATTTGTTACCTACAAACCATGCTGCCACAACTTAAAATTCATTAACATGTTGATGGAGAAAGGCAGATCACAGAACTAGCTTGGTACTGGAAATGTTTTGCTGAGTTCAAGACACATGTAGAAGACATGGCCCTATAAAAATAATAATTTAAAAAAAAAACAAAAAACACAAAACAACACTAAAAATGCACTAGATGACACTTACTTCTCCTTATTTGCTGGATGACTAGTTGCACTCACTGTCTGAACATCTGAACACCGATTCGTTTTAGAAAGCTGTGTGTTAAACTGAATCTGCAGAAACGTAAGAGTTGCAGGTTAAAGAGAGCTACTCGAGACATGATGGCCCATCAGTAAGTGTACTCAGAGAGTGAACTTCTCAGGGATTAATGTTTCTATATCTTGCATAGCACTTCTGTGCTGCAAAGCATGCAAGAATAAGCAGCCTAAAAACAAGCATTAGCTATTACTAATATTGATAACGTTCAAGACAGGGAGTTTAAGGGTACTAGGATATACAGTAAATATTTATGCATTTTGAGAAATATTCAAAACATTAAGCTTTGATATTTTGTGCTACACATTCTTAACCACACAGAAAAGCCAAAGTGCCTGCCTTTGGTACTGGACAATGCGAATTGACATGTTTGTTGTGTGCTGGTTCCGGAAAGTTCTGGAAGGCATACACAGGAGAAAAGGGATGATTGATTCCTGAGCTGGGAAAGGATGGTCGGTCAGGCTGTAAGAGAAATAGAACACATCCATAAAGGAGAAAAACAATTCTTGAAGTAATTGTTTGTACAGGTTCAAAATTCCAAAATTAACAACTAACCACAATTACAAAGCTAAGGCTCATTTGAGTCGTCCTGATGGGAAGAAAACATCACCTTTCCAAGATTCACATTCTTAAAGAAAACTTGTAACTTTTAAAAAGTTAGACGAGCCGAGCACTCTTAGCTAATAGTTTTAAGCTCATAATAAGCTAACACACCCTGTAATTGATTAATATATTATACGTATCTAGCTATAAATCAAGACCTCTTTGCAGGAATATGCCCTTCCACTACTGAATAAGAAGCTCATCAATTGCTAGGTGACAACAGACATCTGTACACACGGGGACAACAAAAAATAAGAACCAATAAGCTGTGGTATTTAACAAAGATAGTAGGTTATGCTTCTTACCCCTTATTTTCATGTTTCTAAATATCACTAATAAAAGTATTCAAATAGTACGCTTTCTTTTTCAACCTATACAAGGATAATTAGCAAGTTAACCTCACAACACAAAAATGCCTTTTTTTTTTTCCCCCTTCTGCACTTCATCTTTTTCAAGCTAATTTTGCATTGTTTTGTGTATTTTAATAAATGCAAGCTTAGAAAATTCTCACTTAGAAGGCCAGGGCACCAAGTAGCACCCAAGAGGGTATTATGTAATTAAAAAAACCCAAAATGTGTATATATATATATATATATACACACACACACACAAAACAAAACAACCCCACACCCACCCAAAACTATAGGGCCCAAAGAAGATGAAAGCACTTTTTTTTTTCCATTTTAAGGCCATACATTCCAGGAAATAATGACTACATCATAACCATGTTATTTATAGCTGTATCTTACCATGCCATGAGGTGAAATGGCAGTCCTAACACCACCATGTGTACTGGCAGAAGTTTCTAGCTTCTTTGCCGTCTGAATTTCATTCAGCTGTTTGTTTAACCATGTGATTACTGAAGAGAGGAAGAAAAAGGTCAAGCTCACTTCCTACTTCGTACAAGCTGTTTAAAACAGCAAGTAGCCCTTCCTCAAAAAAGGGACAACTTGGTGGGCTATTTTTCCTCCTTAAGCTCAAGCATCACTAGAAGTCCTAGTCTCATGAAAAGCCTTTTTGTTCAAGCTTCCTCCACCCCTACATGCCATCCTGTTCCTTCCTCTAGAGTTAGCCCCCCACACCACAATACCCCAAGCAACCACAAGCACCAACTGCAAAGGAAGTCTTCTCTACTTGCACCTCTACGTTGTTGCACACCCGCTACAGACAGAAGTTTGTTTTCCATAAACGACAATAATCGCAGCTCTTTATAAAAAAAAACAACACAGGTAAAGCAATATAGTTGCTTCCATTAATTTTCAGTAGTAGCTAGGTCACTATGCCATTTTTACAGAGGGAGAAATGAAATTGTATAAACCTACCATTTTCGTTGGTTTTCAGTAACTGCTTACTTTCTTCTAGTTTTTGTATTGTAGTTTCTAGCTGTTCTTGTAGTTTGCAAACCTGCAATATTCCCATAATAATTATAACACCATCAGGAGCTACTACTAATACAAACTGAAGAAAAAATATAACATAAATAAATAAAAAGGATCTATGAAGTAGTTCTAAAATTATTTAGAGAAGTTTGAACTCAGTCTTTTACAAAAGCAATATGATAATTCTTTTAAAATAAGGCCTACTTTTAGCTAGGGTTTCATCAAGATGACAGCTAGAAACCTTTCCAACCTTAATTTTTCTATGATTAAATAATGCAAGGACTCTAAGCAGGGGAATATACTTAATGGAAGAAAAAGTTCACTCTGTTCCTGGTCTTGCCTCCTTCACCAACTTTCACATGAATATGCCCACTAAAGCATGTCGATTCATCCATTATATTGCTTTGTACTCCTAATAAAATTTTAGTTTTCTTCCATATGGACAGTGGCTGTTACAAATCAGTTTAATATGAAAAAAATGAAAAGTGGATTACACATGTTAACTAAGTAAAAGAGTATATTCTATTCCATGAAAAGATTTAAGACCTTATTGCTGTAAATAAGTAAGTTAAAGAATACAAAACCCAACACACTACATATAATAGCATTTACAGGACAGAGGGTTAACCTATCACAATACCTCCTGCTCTTTCATTCGAAGAGATTGTCCCGTCTCCTGCAATTCTCTCTGCTCTTTTTGAAGTCTCTCTTCTTTTTCTGCCAATAGTTTTTCCTGTTGAATTGTTACTGTATTTTTCAATTTTAATTTACTCATTAGAGTTTTCAAATCTCCTTGTAACTTCTTGATAATTTCATTAGCCTATTAAAAAAAAAATTCTCAAAATAAACAAACACCTAAAATAAGGAAGACATTCCATAAGGATAATGGCATGTTCAAACAAACCTTAAGAAGTTCGGCTGACAGCGACTTAATTGTTGTCTCTAGTTTTTCAATATGACTTTGTTTTTTCTCTGTACTCTCTTCCAGTATGACCTTTAAAAAATATTAAAAATATTATAATAAAGATATGTGACAGACATCGCTTATGATTTCAAGTAGAACCTTCTTTGAGAACTAATCCTTACAAGAAATTCAGTCCTTGCTTTTCAGTCAAATTTTATAGGATCGCAATTCATTAATTTTTCTGCTTACAAAAAGTACCACTAACTTTACTCCAGTACCACAATATTAAAACAGTAGCGACCCTTTGTAAAACTGAATCCAGTATGCTTTTGATGCCATAATTTAGAATCTTTAACTACATTTGAAAGCTTACTTGCTGTATTCATAGAAACTGGTAGGCTGCTAATCTATAGAGACTGCAATTAAGAAGGTTCTACAGAGCTTTAGAGAAAATTATTTTGAAACTTGAAGGAACCTTTTGTTCTTGTGTCGCATCTAATACTTCTTTTGTTCTAATAACTAGCTGATCTTTATCTTTGATCTCTTGGTCCAGAACAGCAACCCGTGTCTGCAGCTGATTAATGAGTTTCTCTTTTTCATGACATTCTGCATCCAGAGTAGTGTTCTCCCGACGCAGGGACAGCACCTCCTGCTTTGCTCTTTGACATTCCTAGAATGTTGGGAAGGAATTTTATTTTTTTTTTTTTTTTCTAAGAAAACCTGGAATAGTAATTTAAACAGATACATCCAAATAGTAAGCATAATGTGGAATGAAGAGGAGCTGAACAAACTTAATACGCTATATTTTCTATTACATGCACATGCAGGCAGTGTTAATGCTCTAAAAATACTAAGTTTGATTATGGAAATTAATAAGCCATACATCTTCTATTCCAGAAAGCTTTGCTTTCAGTTCTCTGACTGTAGAGTCTCCTTTGTATCTCCTTTCTGTTAGATCTTTATTGATGACCTCGAGTTCCGAGAGTCTGTTCTGCAACTGTTGAATACTTTTCTGATGCAAATTTTCTAATTCCTTTTTCTGTTGTTCAAACTGTTGTTGGTACTGAGCTTGTGCCTATGAGAAGCAAAGAAACTAAGTAGTTATTCAATGAATCTGAAAATTAAGCCACGAAACTATTCACATACAAGAATATTGTTAATTCTTTTCTGTTGTCATACCTGGAGAGCTCTTTCCTTTTCATTTGTCAGCTCCTGCGTGTGTTTGTTTGTTAGAGCTGTAGTGCATGATGTCCATTCATTTTTCAGTTTGTCTAGTTCTCGGCTCTTCTCTGACAAGCTCTGTTTGACAAAGCGTGTAGAGTTTTAAAAATTTAAGCATTTCAGTCAATACTGAATGATTCTTTACTGTTACTTCTTAAAAAGGACATGGAATTATTAAAAGTCTAAATTTCAGCACCAGATGCCAAAATATCTGTTCATTCTGTAAACAGGAAAGTAAGGCACTGACAAGCTAGAGAGTACCTTTCTGACACTGTGGATAAAATAATCTTTGCTTCCAATTGTATTTTCTTCCAACCACTATTTAAGAGTGAAAAAACAGTCTGCTATTGTTCCCTACCCTTATAACACAAAGTGCTCGGGGGGGAGTTCTTCAGAAGCATCTTCTCCTCTTTTTGATTTGTAAAATTCTAGAATTTGACCCAAGTCATCCTCTTTAAACACAAATGTGAAGTCATTACTGGGCTGACTGCAAAAATCAAAAAGTAGTAGAGTAACATGAAGTCCGAGACTCCCGATTTATTTATCATGGCTTCACAATTTTTCCAAATACAAGGATATCCAACTATTCACAGAATATGTAGAGTATATTTATCTTCACACTAGCATATACTTACTATATAATTTGTGCGTGCATACACGTACAGAACTCTCTACAAAATAAAATTTTGTTTTAGTACTGTAAGAACTAAATTTTATTCTTCAATTGCACGCTTTACTCATTCCTAAGAAAAGCTACAGTAGACTACTTTTCTTCTTTTCACTCACTCCCAGGTCAATTATCTTGGCTACGTAGTGGCTAACCAACCAGCCCACAAGAAGGTACATTTTCCACAGATAAAAAAAAGTGCAACTTACAACAGGAAAGTTAAAAATTTACATTACCTGTTGAGTGTAGCTCAGTTGTCTGGTAAGATCCTCTTCAGTTTTTCTAAGTTTTTCTTCCAACATCATTTTGTCTTCCTATGTACAAATTGACACCAAGTCAAATCCTTAGCTCCCAAAATACAAGTAGTATTTAGCATCCATTTTACCAGCATACCCTGCCTAAGCAACAACACGCCCATTACATTTATGGAAAAATCATCTTATTAAATAAACTTCATCTTGAATAAGATATAATTAATAGATTTAAAAGAAAAGGCATTAGCTCACAAGGTAAAAAACCCTGAATTAAATTCTTACCAAGATCTATAAGGAAATAGTATCTTATCATAAAGACTTGTTTACAAAGGAGTTGCATGAACAACAAATCAACTGAAACACTGTAAATTTATGCTATTTAAATGGGTTATTAGGTGGCTATAAACATGACAGCACAGTAGGAGAGACACAAATCACAGGCTACGAAACTGAAACAGACAACAGTCAAACAGACAACAGTCTCATTAAATAAAACCTAGCATGGCACCAACTGCATCAACATTACAATTTTAATTTGCTATTTATAGCTACTAGCCCTTTGAATTCCATAAAGCCTTAGAATTATATACACACGCATGCTTTCCTAAACCCAACTGCAGAACAAAGACCCTGAAAGTTTTCTGTGTTTTACTTTTGCAGTTGATCTGGCAATCAGCACAAGGCTATGAAGCATGAGACACTGAAGCATTCAACAGCTGCATACTACATGCACCGCATGTGCAAAATACCTGATTTTCTGCCAGTACAAATTATAGCACTTGGTTGAATATACATGTAATATTTTCATTGGTAGAGTGACAGTAACAATTTAGTTTTATAACATGTACCCAAATAACTGCATGCAATGACATATATGAGCTAAAATAAAAAATAAACCAGAGCATACAATTTGGTACATACTTTTGAAGTATTAAGACTGAAAAAATGCTTAAGTACACACAGCATCAAGGCCTAGCTGCAGCTATGACAAACCTTCATTTTACCTTAAGGCACTTCAAACAGCTGGCTAAAAACTTCTTTATTTCTGCATCATTTCCTGGTAGGAATTTTAGCGAGAGATGGGTAAGATGTTTAAAAGGGTTGGTCTCCACTACATTTAAAGAGACAGGTGTGTGATCTAGAACAGATGCTGAAGAAACTAACTGCAGCAAAAACCTAGGGAAAATAAAAAAATAAGCAAATGTTTAGCATATTCTTTTTCCTGAAACTACCTGTAGATCCTACCAGCTGTTTTCAAATAAAATACATTTTTATATGTGCATAAAAGGCTGCCCAGATTTCATTTGAAAAAGAACTATGAAATTCAATGCCTATGTTGTAGTTAATGCTACAAATATCAGCTAAAATGTTTGCATCTTATAATAAGAAATGTACAAAACTAATCAGTTTGTTTATTTGTAAAATTTTCAGAAGCCCTTCTTAGACTTAGGAGTCCAAAATCAAGTAAGGCCTTTGTAACCAAATTCAAAAGGAAAACAGACTCCTGACTTTTAGGTATCCTATACCCTAGTAAAATTCATAGCCCACATACATACTTCAGGAAATGGCCTGACTACCGGGGTGGTGCTAGGTACTCTGGACAGGGCTTTCATCAGTACCCATACAAACAAAAATAACATATGAAAAGGCCACTACAGGGAAGGGTGGACTTCAGGTCTCCCCCCTCACATTAATATCTGAACACTGAATGAAAGAAAAAAAATCCTTGTCAGAATGCCTTATAACTTTGCCTTCTCCTGTGAAACAGAATCATAGAATCATTAAGGTTGGAAAAGACCTCTAAGATCATCGAGTCCAACCATCAACCATCAACTCAACACCACCATGTCTACTAAACCATGTCCCTAAGTGCCTCATCTACATGTTAGAATGATTTAAATTCATCAAATTCAGATTAGCTCTTTAGCATTAAACTAAAAAAAAAAAAAAAAAAAAAGACAAGGACCAGTGCTGCATCCTTGCATTTCTGCTAGCTTGTGAAGCTTGTCAGCTTCAACTCAGGTGGGGAGACTATTACTAGACATCAATTCCACTGCTCCGTCCTCCTGAGACTTAAGTTTTGACAGTAATATCCACTGACTAATATCCTGATGCATCCAGGGGACGGTTAAATTATTCTTGTTCTACTGACTCTTCTCAGTCTGAATGGCTGACAAGTATTTTAAGACCTCAACACACACACAGAGTAATGCGGCACTCATTTATTACCTACCTTGGGATATCTTTGTTCTGTTCCTGAATGCACTGCTGAAGCAGATCTATAAATTTTTGTGGGAAAGCAGAGAAGTCTACCAAGAGACCTTGTTGGGATTTTAAACTATATAAACAGATTGGGAAAAAAAATTATTAACAATTTTTTTATATATATATATAAAAAACAATATATAGAAGTGTAATTTATTTCCTATATTTTGTTTATACTAGTAGAAAGAACTAATTCTGATCACGTCATTAAAGTTCGCTAGCATATTATTTTCAATCCTGCACACAGAAGAAATGTGATCACGTCTTGGATAACAAATCGCCAGAGAATATTTTTGATTTCAAGAGTTCTTGCAAATGGGCTGCACTGAGAAAAAAAGAAGTTATTGTGGCAGAACAAATGTGCTTCTTTGAGTAGACGTCTTCCTTACAGCACAGAACGGCAAGGTTATTGGATAGGGGCACATGGAAGAAGCAAAGAACAACGAGGGGAGACTCAACCATTATCAAGACTTTATCTGCCTACTTGTTTATTTAACTGCACACCTTCACCACAGATGCAGTAAACTCAAAGACAGAAACAGACATTCAACAGTGTGTTGAATAAGCCATACCTTGTATAACTAAACACTTCTGCACATCTGTTTTACAAATACTATTTTACTTTTGCCTTTTGATCTATACACTGATCACATCTCTTTTTGAAAAAGCAAAAAACAAACAAACAAAAAAAACCCAACAAAACACCAACAAAAACAAAAACAAAACCCCCAAACAACAAAGCAGAAAACTCAACTGTTCATGCCTGGTGCCCAAACGTGATGACCAAATTTTGAGCAAGTAAAGTATAATGAGACCCAACAGTACAATTAGTATGCAAGAAACCCATAAGACAAAGGCTCAGGTCTGTGAATCCATGTCCATGCAAACAGACTTTCCTCTTGCAATTATTTCTTGAAATAGTTCACATGCATACAATAATCTATAAGAAGTAATTACGATAAACAAAAGAGGCAAGTAGAAATATAAACTGTGGCACTGTAGCTATGCAGGGAACTTAACACCAGGATTCTATCACTCATCTGTATAACCTTGAGCCCATCACTTTCCTGTACTTGGCTGTTTCACCAACTGGTCAAAGAGAACAATACTACCAAAATACTGACAAAACTCCACAAGTGAAAAATGCCAAAACCTAAATCTAAGATAGACCATTCCAAGCTAAAAATATTCCTTCATTCTTTTTTTGCCATTTAGCAATGTTTCACAGACAAGACATTATAATTTCACTAACCTTTGAAAATCTTCCTCAGATATGACAAGGTTATAAAGGAAAAAAGGATCAGTATCATCAGTCAATCGAACAGCCAAATCCTGAAAAGACAGACATTCAAATATGATTTAAAATACTATAAACCACCCTGTAGCATTGTTTAAATATTGTAAACCAGTATTGCAAACAGTATTTAGTGTTTTTACTGTTTAACCAAAAATAAAATAGAATTGTGGCAACTAATTCAGAAGGTGGAAAACATTAACGTTTAACACAACTTCCAATATTACGGTGGGAAAAACAGGGAAACGATTTCTCACAAAAATAAAACAAGTAAAAACCTTCAAATTTGAGCAGCAAAGGTTTCAAAATTCAATGTATCTTCATCATTTTACAGAAAGAAAACTATTTGCTACTTTTCCCCATCGTGAAATAAGAGTGTAGCACTAGCAGTCCACTGTAATGGATCACAAACACGTCATTTCCATAACTGGAAGTTTTTCAGAGCATACTGCTCCTAAAAGTTTAAGAAACCACCTTCTGAAGAGTTTATATATTTGAATACAGAGCTTCACAAAGCAAACGTAAAATGGATACAGCTAAAGTCCAGTAAGTTCATAAGGAAAATCGTAGCATTATGCTGCTTAGCTTTTAAAAATAAACTCATTTGTTCGCTGGAGGTGTACACAGTGTTTTGGAAAAACTGCCTTCTCTGTAAACATTAGTCTTTCATTACAAGGCTGGGGTTATGCAAAACATACTATTAGGCCCAGGCACCTGTTCTCTATAACAAGGCTCAAACCTGTATGAAGAATATAATATTCCCTATCAGAGGAAAGAAAGGAAGTAGAAACCTGACAGCTCTTCCAACACAACTGAAGTGTGACCATAGCACATGTACATCTACAGAACTGAAACAAGTTTCAGTAATTCAGGTACCAGTAATAGTAACAAAACTCTCAGTTGGAGATGTATAAACAAACTCAGGGATTTACATGGGCAGCTAGCTTATGTTAAAATTAACGCCACGCCAAACCAGCTAGGGTGAGTTGTTGAGTAGGATAAGAATGCCTGCTTGGTTTGACGTCCCATTAACCGATCCAAGCATTTGAAGTTATCTTTTTAGACTGATCACTCACTGATGTACCCAACTGGATTTCCAGGCTCATGCTGACACAGGCTGCAACTTGGTACACAGTTCTTAACTGAACCACTTCTTCACACTTAATATTACCATTGTCACAGTTAGCGGAATCTTACAAAAAAGTGCTGTACTCCTTTACAAACAAATCTTTACTCAGTAACACTACAACCAACTAATGACCAATCTTAACATCATGGTAAGTGGATGTACAGTTTAAGTGACGAATTATACATACAACAAAAAAGATTTTATAACCTCCAGTAGTAATCTCATTGCTGTTTTTCCTGAGAAAGAAGATTTTTTTACTGCAAATTTAGTACATTACTTCCTTCCTACCCCCACTGGATGAATTCCAAACATTCAAAGACTAACACATTTCACAATAAAAAACAAAATGTTATATCCACATACAAGTTGTCATTTTTGCTAGTTAAGATGAGGACTGTGCAAAGACAACTGCTGCTCTACACTCTTAAATAAGTGTTGAGTATATTTAAAGCAAGGCTGCTCTTAAGCTTTAACACAGGTTCCTCTGAGGGTCTCCAAATACTTTTAATTTGCAATTTTCATGAACAGCCAAACTACAAGAGAGGGCTAAAAAGGCTAGGGAAAAACCACCATACCAAACCAACTAAATTACTCCAGAAATTAAGTAAAAAATAAAATAAGGTCGAAGTGACAAACATACTAAAATCCTGTTTTGCTTTTCCTTTTCCTATTTATCCTCTTATACAACGAAATTCAGATAATACCTAATGAATAACACAAATATAACTAATCCACAAACCTTTTTATGAACAGGATTAGAAATCGACAGTAGCTCAATATTCACTCGAACATTTAATTTCCTGTGTACAAAAAGATGAAACTTAGTAACAAATCAAGAAAACATTCTCCAAATAACATGTGTTCATAGCCACATTACATGAATCAGATGACATTTAGAAAAGAAAAACTTAGGCAGAAATATCGACAAAGTTCCCATTGATGACTACTACTAAGATATCTGAAAGCCCCCCAGTTTCAGTTATCATTACAGCTCCTCAGTCAGCTCAGGTTTTTTTGTTGCTTGTTACCCACCAAACTTTAAATAGCAAGGCAGAAGTTTTGAAACTTTGTCCAGAAACTAGAACCTTTGGAAAAGCCGGCTGAAATTTATTAGCGATTGCTGAAACTTTTGATAATCATTTATACAGTGCTACCTTGTCTTCATTTACTTCTTGTTGAGTAACCCGAGAAGTTACTTGCATTACGAAATACAACCACAGACATCAGCCTTTCTGTGCCTTCTCATATAGGCAAGCCAGAGAGGCCCCAACGCCTGCATACACTGTCTAATCCAGATAGGACCTACATTACTAAAATTCACGGTATTTTGAATAGACACTTCACATAAAATATTCCTGGGCTTTCCCGAACACGAGTGCTAAGCCACGCACACATGCACACGGGTGCACCCAAATCGACTTATCCCTCGGCAGAAACCGATGGGCACGGACGTGTGGGTTCGCCCACGCCGTAGGGGCAGTAACGAGGGAGCTGAAATGCTGCAGGAGGCCGCGGTAAGGCTGGCTTCAGACTGCGAGGAGGAGGAGGAAGAGGAGGGGGGCCTACCCGCGGGCAACCGCTGCGGCCTGGGCGACGCGTAAACACCGGCCCGGCCAGCCGGACCTGCAGCGCTGCGAGGGCCCGTGCAGGGCCGAGGCAGAAATCCCGGCCCTCGTGTAGCCTGCACGGGAGACGCGTTTGTCCCCGTACCCCTAAAGCCACTGCGTGTTTTCTCCGCTACCAGTGCCCCCTCCGCCCCTTCTCCCCTGGCAAGGCACCCACAGCAGCCACTTCAGCCCTCACCGACTACCTCCAGCCTTGCTGCGACCAAGTCCCCTTCCCTCTAACCCAGAGGGTCCCCCCAAAGCAAGAACAAGGCTGCTCAGCTCACCGTAGGGCCTCGCCTCTCACCCAGCAGCTGTTAGGGCACAAG